AGCTGTTCCATGTACAGAAATGCACAAATACCACAAGTACATATTTATTTGCAGAGTTTTAATTTCCTTCAGATAATAAAGGTTTGTTTTCACTACCAGTAGACACCACCAGCCCTCATGACTTTTCCAACCTGCAGTCCTCCCCCAAGAAAATAAAACTTTCAAGAATACTGTCAGCCTATTCTGTTTTACCCAAATGCCTTAGAAGAATAAATTACTCATATCTAAAAAAATCACTGGTATTAAAAATTCCTAGCCCATCTTTCCCCTCTCCCAGCGGAGGCCAAAGAAACTTACAAGAAACCAGTATGATCAATCAAAACGTCTAAAACAAATTAAAATACACAATCCATGTCATCAAATAATCACTAAACTGACTTTGCCCACCAGTAACCAAAAGCCTAAAACCCAACAACTAATGGAGGATTCTTTAAAGAAATCTAGAGTTGTGTGTCTTCAGCATATTGATAACATCCATCTCCTCAGTTCTGTACAGTCTCAGTTAAAAGTCTGTAAAAGGTAAAGGTTCCCTTGCTCGAACCGCTTTTGGCTTGCATCAGCCTCGCACGGTTGGGAGGTGCAGTGCGCGAGCCAGGTCGCTTTCGCCGGCTGTGCTTACAAGGCACAAGGTGCACGGTGGGCTCTGGTTTGGCGCGCACCACTCCACACCTTCCCACTGAAGTGGTACCTATTTATCTACTTGCAATTTCTTGCTTTCGAACTGCTAGGTTGGCAGGAACTGGAACTAGAGACGGGAGCTCACTCCATCATGCGGCAACTCGGATCTCGAAATGCTGAACTACCGACCTTCCACAGCCTGCAGTGCAGCGTCTTAACCACTTGAGCCACCGCAGCTCCTGACACACATATTAAACTACATTTACCATTGTACTGTGTGACACGTTTCTTATGTAAAACAAATTCACTGAACTGAGCATTTGCTCATCTATTAAAACATTAAATGGCGTAAAGACAAAGGGATTATAAATAAACTATTGCAAAGGATGGAGAATGGCATGGTGCAGGGAACAGGGTCAGGTTTCAAGGAAATGTGTACACTACTGACTATCAAATGGATATTTATTTTACCTGAGATCATCTTGTGAGTATCTCGCTTGTAAGTCCTCTTTATCGCTTGTTTTTGCCCCTTCCTCAGTTTGATCATCTTGAACCCTTTCATCTTCTTCTGGTTCTTTGTTTTCCTCTTTTTCACATTTTTCTGCCTCCTCTTTCCCTCCCTTCCCCTTCCCCCTTTTCATCAACTTGTTCATCCTTTACAGTTTCCTCATTCTCCTGATTCTCCACCTCTTTCTCTTCTTGCTTCTCCTCAACAAATACCTCCTCCTCCCCTTCTTCCCCTCCCTCTTTTCTTTCCTCACTTGATCTTCTGAAATAAACAAAAAATGAAGAAACATGCAAAAAAAGAAAAAAGACAGAAGCAAATTAGGATTGGACAGAAATCAACATGCATTAAATAGGTAAAAAGAAATTGAAAAGAAAGAGCAAACAAATGGAATAGTGCAATGACAAAAACAAAGATGATGGTTAATTCTTGGGTGTAGTCAACTAAATAATTATGGTATAGATTTCCCCCCCAGGAGTCTCTAAACCAGGTAGGCAGAATTTTAGAGAATACATAAAATTACTTATTTTTAAATGAATTTGCTGGTACTGTTATTACATGTATGCCATAGAGCAAAGTTTGAGTCCAGTGGCACCTTTAAGACCAACAAAGTTTAATTCTTGGTATAAGCTTTTGTGAACTGGACTCAAACTTTGTTCTATTGCTTCAGACCAACACGGCTACCCATGTGAATCTACATATATGCCCATGACAAGTCCACCTTGAGTTCTGTAGACATACACATACATTCCTTATGGCAAAACTGATGACTCTTTGTAGAGTGTAATGAGAAAATCAAATTCCCACAGCCATCATTTCATCCCATTGAGGCCTTTGTTAAGAGGTAATAATCAGTTCAATCTTGTCATGAAGAGTATTCAGGATTATCTTTTTGGGCTCCTACTAGCCTTCCTCTCCATAGGAAGCTACTTGAGCCAGTCAACAATACCCAAACTACACATCACATGGTGGGAGATCCATGAGTGGATCCTCCGTCATTTTCTTTAACATTAAAAAGCAGTTGAAGGAGTTGGGTTGTGACAGTGTAACGTTTCTCCTCATGATGCTTCCCCTGTAGACGCTGTTCCACAGAACAGATATTCATTGCGGTAAGAAGAAGACAGGTTGTCTCTCTCCTGGTGGCATGGACCCATGATAATCTCCCCTGCTTTTCATAGTTAAAGTATCCAGATACCTAATCACAGATCTCCAACATAAAATGTAGTTGGTCCTAAAATTCAAGCAGTTGGTGCTTTGGATGACTATTTCTAGTTCACACAGTAAAATCCAGGTGGAAAGTGCACTGAAAGTGGATTGAAAGTGGATTATTTAGTGGGTGTGACTGCAGCCTCTATTTACTTTTTATTTGATGTTTCAATTAAAAATATTTTAATTATATCTAATTTTATGTTGTTCCCTGACTTAACTTGTCAGCAGATAGGCATGGGGGAGTTAAAATATTTTAAATTAATTAATATATATTATTTAATTAATATATATTTTACTTTGAGATATGGCCTCCATATGTGCAGGGGTCATTTCCTGCAGGAGCGCACAGGAGCGGAGCTCTGGCAGTAAAGAGCCCAGGGGGCGGGCACATGCAACAAGCCCCACCCCCTGCTCCCAGCAGCCCTCAGTCAGAGCAAGAAGCAGCCAGGTAAGTTGCAGAGCTCACCCCGCCCCCTGGTCTAACCAAAACAGTCCAGTGACGCCTTTAAGACCAAGTTTTATTCAGGTACAAGCTCTCTCTCCTCTGTAAGGACAGATCTGCACATCCCCCCCCCCCTGCAATAGCTAGCAATCCAAAACAGTCCAGTGGAGCCTGAGCGGTAGGTGTTGCCTTCTGACACACTTCTGGTGATGCCAGGGAGTGTGACATATGCAAATTAGTTATGCTAATGAGTTATGCTAATAAGATCCTGCACCTCTTTTTCTACGAAATGACCCCTTTATATGTGGATAACAAATCTGTGTATTGGGGCCTCACCAACGCTAAACAGGTTTTCCTGCAAACTTCAGGGGAAAATACATTGGAGAATATAGATTTTCCCCAAAATAAAAAAAACATTGTGCAGGCATAGACATCGCACCTGCCTCCTCTACATCCGGGATCAGGCAGCTGTAGGAAACCTCATTGGAGGCTGGAAGCTGTGTGGGGCTCACCAGTGTCATGGGGGGGGGAGCCTTGGTGGTCCCAGCAGCTGACATTGAGAGCCATGCAGGACTTGCCATCATCAGCAGCAATGAGGGGAGGGAGCCTTGGCAGAGCTTGCTGGTGGCAATGGGGGAAGAAACCCTTGTAGCCCCTCAACCAAACTGGCAAAGAGGTGGGGGGCAGGGAGTTGGGTGCAGAGCAGTGTTTCCTCTAAGGTGAGTTAGTGTGAGCTAGCTCACAGTTTTTTGCCTCTGGCTCACACATTTTTGTCTCAGCTCAGGAAGGATGGCTTCAGAGCAAAGTAATTTATGCAGTAGCTAAATTGCTTGCTCACAACCTTAATGCCAGTAGCTCACAAGGCAGAATTCTTGCTCACAAGACTCCACAGCTTAGAGGGAACATTGGTGCAGAGGCCAGAAAGCAAGGAGTCGGATGGGGAAGTGCAGGAGTTGTTGTGGCCTCCTCAACCCATCAGGAAAGGAGGGAGTCCTTGCTGCTCCACCCCACAAAGCCAGCAAGCCCACTTGCCCACTGAACTGGCAAAGAGGAGTTGGACAGGGAGGTACAGGAGTCTTTGCCACCACCACCCCAAATAGCCAGCCACAAAGGAGTCAGGCAGGGGTGTGTGGGAGTCCTTGACCCCCACTGAGCCAGCAACCAAGGTGCTGCAGTTCTCACCCTCCCCCAGCTGGCAATGAGGGAACCAGACCAGGACTGGTGGCCATGAGGACGAATGATCCCTGTGAGTATTGCAGGTCCCCACTTGTAAATAAATATTGTGAGGGTGGAAATCACATAGAGTGGCAATGCAATTTCACAGTAAGTAAGCAGGGCAAACAGATCATACTAGGGAAATCTTCCTCCCACTCTAATTCCAGCTCATATGTCACTGTGCCTAAAATATCCAATTTATTTTGAATTTTTAAAGTAAATGCAATATGTTCTTAGGACAAATATAATTAACTATCACCTCTATTGATCAGTAGAATACCCACATACCAATGTTCAAACTATACATCTCAGGGAAACATTTGTATTAATGTTTTCCCACCACATCTAAAATGGCTGTGTGTGTACTATGCTTAAGATTCCACAAAGGAAATAACTAGGTTTAATAGGCTACATTTGCATCTACAGCTTACAAAATGTAGCATCTTCACAAAAAGAACTGCCTTTAAATGGTATTTTCAATTACTGTATTTTAGGGACTTGAATTACAAATAATACATATATTATGGAAGTAAAGAATTCAAATGCCTAATATAGAAAACAGTCCTCTGTTACAGAAAACTAGAATGATTATGAAAAACCTTTTGGAAGCAGAAGTAGTTTTTACCATTTGTTTTTACCATGAGGACTGAATCATTTTAGGCTGCTTTTATGTCGTTTTTATGCACTGGCTGGGTTTCCAATTTTTTTTTTTAATGATTTTAATGCTTTTTGAGGATTTTATCATGTTTGACTTTGTAAGTCATGAGCAGGTCCTCTGGAGAGGTGGCATATATATATATATATATA